GGCCGTACGGGCAGCTTCAGCTTCTTCGTCCAGCAGCTGAAACCGGGGATCTCTCTTCTTCCACCAAGGCTTCTACCTCTGATACAGAGCAACAACCTCAATTTGGAAGTGGGAAGAGTCTAGATGAACTTCTCTATGCCTCGGTTCAGTGATAGAGGGGGCCCGATCAGTTACAACTCGTTCTCGGTTGACGCCAAGACGAGCGTAGTTAATGCCGACGTTGGTCTCGTCCCGCTATGAAAAAGAAAAGGGGAAAGGTCAGTTCAGTTAGGTTGGCACAGCATAAAAAAGCGAAGTGAAAGAGGAGAAAAAGAGATAATTAAAAGGCCTCGGCCCCAGCCGAAGAAGCTTACCATCCTTAAACTTTCGGCTGAGGCCGACAACTGCTAGCATGTTCTCTTGGAAAACATAATGTGTATCGGGGAGCCAAGTCTCCGGGATATGCTGCATTCGGCCGCTGCCCCCCCGGTTCGGCAGCTTGCCGAAGATATTCTGTTGATTAAGGTTCGGATCTGGGCCGTTATCTGCGGGGGGACCTAAACTTCCCATGTCGGGATCAGTCTCAGCAAGGTACCGGGGAGCGCTGAAGACGCAAGGGTGGCCCGAGTCCGTGGGTGCCCTAACCCAAATCCATTGACCTGTCCAGTCCTTGTCTGAAGAGTCGTTCGGCCACATGGTTAGGTACTGGGGCCGAGACTCAATCCGGTACCACCCAGAACCATGACTTCCGTGCCCACTTTGAATATTTGGCACTAGCTGATGAAGCTTTTTGAAGCAGTGCAGGTTCGGCACATACCTGAAGAACTTGCAGACCCATAAGTATGTCATCACCCTTCGGATGCTAATAGGAGTTAGCTGACATAGGGAAATATTGTAATGGATCAGCAAGTCTCGGACGAATACGTCCAAAGGGAACCTCAGCCCATACTGAAGTTGTCTTGTGTACACCCCCACATACCCCGGGGGTGGACGATGGATTCTATCGGATGCCACGGGCATTCGGCACCAATACCCATCAGCTTCAAGGATGCCGTAATGCAACTCAATTTGTTCGGCAAACCGATACTGTTCGACATTCTCCACCCACCATGAGTAGGGGCGGTTCTTTATCATGGCCGAAGCTACTTCGGCATCCTCCCACTCTGAAAACCCGGGAAGGATATCCCAAAGGACAGCGGGAACTTCATCGTCCCGCCCAGAAGCGCTCGGACCCTCCGTTCTTTGAGTAGGAGCCGAAGAAATTGGAGTCGCCCTAATCCCTTCAGCAGGGTCAGACTCTGCTCTTTGTCCATTCCAGGTCCCAATCCTGTTCCTGGGATCGGGAATTGGCCTTGCTCTTCTTGGAGCACGGGCTCTACCCCTAACTCCTCCCGCCATTGATAATTTCGAAGAAAAAAGTCGAAAAAAGGGGAAAGAGTTCAAATTCGAAGAAAAATAAACTAAAATCAAAGGAATTTACCTTAATCTGAAGCGAAAGTTGCCGATTTACGAATTTGTAGTGGCGAGTCTCAGTTTCTAAGCTTAATGCTCGGGGAATTTGCGAAGTTTTGATGCGGGTTCTTGGGTTCTCTCGAGAATTCTGGGTTTGTGTTGGTGAATAAGTGAGGAGAGATGACGCGCCTCTAATTATATCTCCAGAAATGGGAATACGGGGAGTCCGCGTTTCAATTTCTCTTAAATACCCCACTAAGTAACCGTTAAACACACGACCTTGCGATTAAACTGCCCATTATCCGTCCAACTTCCACAATTATCCGCCTTAACTGTTGTTATCTCATTAATTACGGTTTAATTACGGTTTAAATTCAAATTTTTGGATTAATTAAATCATTCACTTCCCTCCTTTTCTGATTAAATCAAACCCGACCCGTCATCCTTCCAAATCGGGTCTGGGGGGCAAGTTGTTTGGGTCCAATTTAGTCCAATTGGGCCTAGGCGTTAAATGATCCAATTAAAAGCCCAAGGTCAAGGTTCATCTCTCCAATTGTGCTAAAGTCAAAGATCAGTCCTCAAGGCAAGCCAATTGGGCTAAGGCCCAACTTCTCCATATATGTAAAGGTATAAAAGCCATCAATATTACATTTGTACATTCATTCAAGCAAAGCCTCAAGCAATTAATTCTCTTGCATAGTGTTCTCTTTCTACACACTGTACTGACTTTAGCATCGGAGGGGCCTTCCTCGGCAACACCCCCGAGGCTAGTTTATGTGTGTTTACTGTGCAGGAAACCTTCGGCCCAACATCACTTGGACCGAATCCAGTCTTCTCCACTTCATCGGACCTTCGACAAGGTCCCATTGTTTTCACCCGAAACAGCTGGTAATATTATCCGTTCACAGTCTTCTTGACAAATTTATCACGTACGATGTAAACTATATATGCCACTTGATAAATTTGCTTTTAATCAGCCCACTTGTAAGCTGTTATTAATGTTCAAAGTAATGTTTCTAATCCAGTGGAAAGTAGTATTATTAATTTAAGATGAGATTAAGCTAACCTTAAATTAGTACAGTGATGAGATCTTAATTCCTAGGTAGTTTTAATTTCACATAATACACAAGATTTATTTATTAATAAATTAGTACCATGTTGTATTGTTGTAGGTGGTACAGTTAACGTACTACCAGAATGTGGTGGCCTGTGAGGCTGTGATGGTAGAGGACTAGAGGTCATGTTACAAAGAATCATATCGAGCCTAATGGCTATGGATGAAGATAGTTTTTTTTTTTTTTTTTTTTTTTGGGGGGGTTAAACGAGGCACAAGGGTAAGTGATGAGAATCGATCCCAAAATCTCTTAGAATCAGGAGGAGAGCTCACCCCTCACTCTTAACCTTACATTGGATTGATAGTATATGATTGAAACTCCGATATCTCAGTGGGCCGGGCATACTACATACTAAGTTTACTCGCTAATTAATCGGTAATTAGATAGCCTTATGTAGCCAAATATGAGTAATATGCATTTATGCAATGTCTGAGGACACATGTATAACCTAGTTGTATCTTGTATATATACGAGAAATTTGCTTTGACATAATAGAAGTATATATATAAATAAAGATGATCTTCAAAAGCTGCAAAACTGTCTATGCATAAATATTGGACAAATATTTGAATCAAATACAAATGTTTAAATTTTGAAAATAGACAATGAACCATAGGAACAACAAAAACTCCCTAACCTATATAGTGTTTTTTTTTTTTTGGTTTACCATAACATATATAGTACGGAATACATAAAATTGATTAATAAAAAATCTATGCATGCTCGGTGCCTTGAAATTAAACTCTTGTCTACAATAACTCTACATAATACATATTGTGTTTCTGTATATTCCGTAAATGTGGAAAACTGATAAAGTGTTATCCAAATTAACAATAGGATATTATTTGTAAGTTTTGTGCCGACTAGCACAGAATTAGAAATTAGGGTTGAACAATATCCATAATAGCGCAGTTCCATGCATCCCTTTGATCTCTGAAGCACCATTAATTGGAGCCCACCATTGCAATAACAGGTGGTCCCTTGACTCAGATGGCTAGATGTTGCAGCCATTATAACCAATAATGATCATGCTCACATTACCATTAAACTAAATAAATCGATCATATCTGCCATTGTAATTCGATGTTGCATTGGTGCGCTATTTTAGGCTCCTATATCTAATATCTATGTCTTCTTCTTTGCACTGCACTGCTCTCTCTATTCACCTCTGCTGCATTTCCAGTGGTTTCATTTCAGGCCTTTCTTTAGTTCCTGCGCACTTTATTTAGCGCTAATTGTACTCCTTAGTTACATCATTTGCACTAGTAACGTCCGGATATGTATGCCATCAAAAGGTCAACTCCTTTTTAGTTGTAAGTTACTACGTTTCTTTGAATTAAATCTAAGGGTTGAATAGGTTGGGTCCAGAATTAGGGTTTCAACATACTTTTATTAACGTTTTCTACTAATAAAATATAAATTAGATGTTATGTTAATTATCCTTCTATTACTCAACTTCCTTGTTTGCCACATCAAAATCTAAATACACAAGTATGTATACGTTGATTAATATGGAGTAATATAATAATAAGCAAGTCTTTTGTTCAGGATCTCTAATTCAATAGTACTCGTAGTTTGTAAAGTCTTCCACTCTTAAGTAGCACTGCAGTCGATTTGAAAAGCTGGCTTTCCACAAAATGTGTAACAATTTACTCCATCGTTAATTTCTTAAGGTTATGCTTTGATTTATCAGGGTAATATTGGAGAAAGTAGTTTAAAATTATTTGGCATTTGAAACTCATAAATGACTTATGATCTTTAATTCTTTATCTTTGACTCAAGTTGAAATTTAATGTTCTAGTAGTTTTGATTTTGGAATTTGATTTTTCCCTCTTTGACAATCTCGATCTAATTAACTTTTTTTTTTCCCAATTGTATTATTATTGGAGAATGTTGAACTTTTTTTTTTAATAATATACGTTCAATCAAAGAATTTGAAGATATAAGTTATGAGTACTTTGTTGTTGTTTATTTGATAAAATGCTCTCAAAAAATCAATTCAAATTAAATTACTGGTATATATGTCCTTCATTTCATTTCAATAGTTTAATAGCAATTCAAAATTATAATACATGGAATAGAATTTGTGTGCATAACCTTACAAAATCATTAATTACAAACTTGATGGTTTGTGTTAGATAGTTAAATATCAAGACATAATGCAACATACTTTATTACTTCATATCTAATACGGAGTAAGAGACTCTATACAATATATCATCCTTTGTAGGAAAGCTTAGCTTCTTTCCAAATTACCTAGGATTGGACGTTAATATTTTATTTCCCAACTTTGAATACTAAATAATAATTCCTGATTCTAACCAAAAACCAATCAAAATAATTACCACTCGTAATATGATACACGAAGTAAATTGTTGTACCAAAACAAAGTAATGTTAGTAATCTATAGCCAAAAAAAACAAAAAAAAGGCATTGGAAACAGAAGTCTAAATTGAAAGAAAAGTAGCCCCCAAAGCCAATGAGTAATAAGGTTGATCTGAGGCCTGTTTCCATTACTTCCTTGACACTGCAATAACTTTCTCTCTCCTCTTTCATGCACCCTTTACAATATGTCAATACTCAATACAAACACACAGACTCATACATTATTCAATTCAATATATAAATATAAATACAATCTATCTATCTCTATTTAATTTAAAAACAAAAAATGAAAAAAGCATAAACAGAAGAGAGTACAGTATCTCACCGCCTATTCCCACCATTTACACCCCATCCACGCTTCTGAATTTCACCCTCCTCGCCACCTCCTTTGTTCACCACTTTGCAACCAACCCACCTCTCCCCTCTCCACTCCACCCTCCGAGGCACTCTCAATTACTTTACCATGCAACAACATCAACAACAACATCATCAAATGATCATCAAACCTCAACAAAACCTCATTCTTCAACAACAACAACAACAACAACCCCCTTCTCTTGACTCTCCTACTAGCAACAACTCCTCTTCCTCCTCCTCCACCACTTTCAACAACAACAACAACAACAACAACCTTTCAATCTCTCCATCTACTGCTTCTCCTTCTCCTGCTACCTCCAACAAGCGGGGCCGCGGCAAGGGCGGCCCCGACAACAACAAGTTCCGCTACCGAGGTGTTCGGCAGCGGAGCTGGGGGAAATGGGTCGCCGAGATCCGCGAGCCTCGTAAACGGACTCGGAAATGGTTGGGTACTTTCGCTACAGCGGAAGATGCTGCTCGTGCTTATGACCGCGCTGCTATTATTCTCTACGGCTCTAGGGCTCAACTCAATCTACAACCTTCTCCTCCTCCTTCTACCGGGGGACCCACTACCAACTCCTCATCTTCTCGTGGATCTTCGTCTTCTTCTTCCGGAACCACCCACTCTCTCCGTCCTATCCTCCCTAAGCCTGCTAATGGGTTCGGGTTTACGTTCTCCACTTTTCCCTATGGCGGGTTTGGGGCCGGGTCCGGGTTAACCTCTTCGTCGGCGTCAGTTTTGCAGTACCCGTATTGTCCGAATATCGTTCATGGGCCGGTCCAATGGGCCGGTACTACTTCATCTTTACCCTTCTCACAACCTCCTCTTGTTGAAAATAATAATACTACTGATAGTATTAATTTGATTAATAATACTAGTAGTAGTACTACTACTACTAATAGTAACGAGGTGGATCATGACCCGACCCTTCAACAGATTCGGGTGCAGGAAGATGAAGTGGATCGGGTAACACAGGATCAAATCCTTGTACAAGGACAGCAATATCACCAACAAAGTAATAATAATAACAACAATAATGGGTTTTGTACTCAAGATTATCATCACAAGAGTTTTTGTGACGAGATAAGTTCGTTGGTTGGATCAGTTGATTCAAGTTTATCATTAGGGTCGCAAGTAATCGGGCATTCGGATCCGGGTCTAATAAACTTATTACCCGGGTCACCGTTATGGCCGACGCCGTTAAGTGGTGAGTTAGAGGAGTATCAAATGCATCATACAACCAGTCTTTGGGATTATGGTACTGATCCTTTCTTGTTCTTCTCTGATAATGAACATCATCAAATTTAATTAATTTGGTGTTTCATTTTGCATGCATCTGAGCTATCTACAAGGTAAGCATGATTAATTAAGGTCTTCATTAATTAATTAATTACTTGGGAATTTGGTGGGATTTTTTCAAGAATTATGGTCAAAAAAAGAAGGGAAAAAAATCAACATGCAGAATGAATTGCACCATGTCCCAAAAACTAAAATTTGAATTCCCAAAGGAGGTTGGTTAATTATATTGAGAATTGCAATTAATGGACAATTAATTGCAATTATCTCATACAGTATTATAGTTATTGATCTTTCAATTATAATTAAGTTTTTTTTTTTTTTTTTTACAATATTTTGTATTTGCCTAAGGTATAGTATTAGACTAGTAATTAGAAGTAATTTTTTGTTGGTTTTGTTTATACATATATTATTATTATTATTAGGAGTATTATTACTAGCTACTATTACTCCGTATTATTAATATATATTTTTATTATTTTTCTATTCTAGTTCTTGGTATTCATTGATGAAATAACCAAGAAAAGGATAATTAGGGTTAGGGTTTTGAGTTGGGAATCGTTTGTCTCAAAGAAGGAAGCAGGATTTTGTTGAATAAGATATTTAATGAATATTTTTTGTTTTTTTTGGATTATATATTTATCAATATATTGGTGAATCATCCTTTCACTACACCGAATTTTTGTTTTCTTGCCTTTATTTTGTAAATGGGAAATTGGTAATCCAATATTATTCCATTTATTTAATTTTATTTCTCTGCATCTACAATGATAATGTTAATTTGGACTTGTTTTTTTCATATGATTGTGATTGAGCTTAGCTAATGTACATAAGTTATTCTGAATGGAATCAAATCGATGAATAAGCTTAGTAGACACATAAAGCTTGTTTTGTATCAACACTGGATATTTACATTGAAAATGAGTTTATCAAATTGAGTACTAACTTAAACATAGACCGAAATCGTTTATGTATGTACTCGGTATATCCAAGCTAAGATAGTTGAGTTACGTAGACTCAATTTCGATATTTTCTTACAATTTGCATTCTACACTCGGGTATACCTTACATTTCTCCTCATTATCCTTTGAATTCTTACACAAGGAAAAGATTGTATCGCGTATTAGGTTGTCAAGTTATGTAGCTTTCCGTTCATTGTCCTAATGTATGTCTTTTATCCTTCTTACACAAGGTGAAGATAGTGTTATATTATCTAGGGGTGAGCAAAAATTCCGGATACCCGAAATTGAAACCGGAATCGGTTAGGAACCGGCGGGTCCGGAACCGGAATTGGACTTGGTGGTTCCAATTCCGGGTAATAAATTAAGGACCCAGTTATAACCAATTCCTATTCTCAACTTTTTAGAATCGGAACCGGTTGGGTATCTGGTTATCTAATATATGCTAAACTAAATAAATTTTAAATAATAAAAATATGTTGAATGTATCTAATTTGTAAATTAAAAAAGTAATATTAATACCTTATATAAATACTAATAGCTTCATGCATATAAAAATATGGAAATTTTGATAATTACCACCTTCTGTTATGTCTATTTTAGCAATTACCACCTTCTATTTTTTTTTTTGAAAATTACCACCTTCTATTTTCAAAAACATCAAAAGTTACCACCTTCTTGCCCCCCCAACTATCACGTGACGTCATTTTGGGCCCATTCTTTCCCTTCCCTCTCTATTTCCCTCATAATTCTCATTCCTATGTGAATTCTCATCTCCCCTTTCACTTTTTTTCCCCCAAACCACCAATAATTGTTCGTCAATTTTGATTTGGAGGAGTGAATTGAAGTGTTTTTTATTGTTTGGGGGAAAAAGTGAAAGGGGAGAAGAGAATCGAGTTAGGAATGAGAAATGTGAGGGAAATAGAGAGGGAAGGGAAAGAATGGGCCCAAAATGACGTCACGTGGTAGTTGGGGGGCAAGAAGGTGGTAACTTTTGATGTTTTTGAAAATAGAAGGTGGTAATTTTCAAAAAAAAAATAGAAGGTGGTAATTGCTAAAATAGACATAACAGAAGGTGGTAATTGTCAAAATTTCCTAAAAATATAAATATTAAACGCTAAAAATGAATCTTACTAAAATAAGAATTATAATTTGTATTATATTTTAACAATTACATACATAAGTGGGTACTCGGAACCGGTGCCCGGTGGTTCCAATACCAATTCCTAAATTTTAGGACCTGGTTGAACCAATTCCAATTCCGGATCCGAATTTTAGGATCCGGTTCAAATCAAGTCCAAGTCCGGGTCCTAAAATTTTGACCGGGTACCCGATTTGCTCACCCCTAACTGTTGTCAAATTATATATAATGTGGTTATAAAATCGACACCGAAATTTTCTTTATTTTCTAGCTATTATAGGTGTTGTTTAATCTATTTGGTTCATTTAGTGTAAATTGCTTTAAAATCCTATGAAGATCTTGCTTTTTAGGTTAATCCAGTAACAATTCCACTAGGGCAAGTAAATAATACTAAGCTAGTAAGCTACCTTAGTCGTCCTCATATAATTGTGGTACATACAATTTTGGTTAGTCTTCAAATATGTGTCATGTAATCTTAAATGGATAAAATTTCTCACCCAAATCATGCACCCATGCCATGAATACTCTTTATGTAGAACCTATTACTACCTTTTACGTCACACAGACCACACTCTTCTTATGAATGTATAAGGTAGGGATGGCAACGGGTCGGATTCGGATCGGGTGGAGCTTCACCCGCATCCATCCGCTACCTCCATCCACTCCACCCGATCCACCCACCACCCGCTAACCCCATCATCCACATCCGATCCACCCATCATCCGCGGGTGAAACGGGTGGATCGGATGATAAACGGGTGAAGATTAAACTTGTGTTATGAAATTAAACAAAAAAAAAAATGATGCTAAGTAATTCCTACTGTGCCATCTAAATCGGCATTGCAAAAATTAAAAAAAAATATAGCACTAGCAATTTAGCATTACAAGATCAATTACTAGTACCACCAACTATGAAATACATGAACTATTGATATGATTAAGTTAAATAAGTGATCTGTGATGCCATTTTCCCTTCAAAAATTCATGAAATTAATGAACTTAATCGCGTAAGAGGAGTCGCCGCCTCGCCCAAGAGGAGTGTGAGACGTTCTGGTGAGAAGTTGCCGGTAAAAATGGAATATTTGGTGGTGAGTAGAGAGTGTGAGTAAGGATGGCAATTTTATATGGATATCCATTAACCCGCTCCACCCGCTTAAATTAAATGGATGAAAACCCGACTTAAATGGATGAAAGGCGGGTGGTGGATGAAACGGGTGACGGATCGGATCGGATTCGGGTGGAGCTTTAAGTCATCCGTCACCGTCACCCGATCCATCACCCGCTTATCATCCACCCATTTATTTTTATATAAAAAAAAATACAAAACTTTTTTAAAAAAAACCCTAATCTAATGTACATACTACATACAGCTAGCCGCACATATCCATTCTCAACTCTCAAGTCCTCCTAACAGTCTCTCTCCTTCTTTAGTTCCTCACACTCTCTACTCACCACCAAATATTCCATTTTTACCGGCAACTTCTCACCAGAACGTCTCACACTCCTCTTGGGCGAGGCGGCGACTCCTCTTACGCAATTAAGCTCATTAATTTCATGAATTTTTGAAGGGAAAATGGCATCATAGATCACTTATTTAACTTAATCATATCAATAGTTCATGTATTTCATAGTTGGTGGTACTAGTAATTGATCTTGTAATGCTAAATTGCTAGTGCTATATTTTTTTTAATTTTTGCAATGCCGATTTAGATGGCACAGTAGGAATTACTTAGCATCATTTTTTTTGTTTAATTTCATAACACAAGTTTAATCTTCACCCGTTTATCATCCGATCCACCCGTTTCACCCGCGGATGATGGGTGGATCGGATGTGGATGATGGGGTTAGCGGGTGGTGGGTGGATCGGGTGGAGTGGATGGAGGTAGCGGATGGATGCGGGTGAAGCTCCACCCAATCCGAATCCGACCCGTTTCCATCCCTAAGTGTGAGGAACTAAAGAAGGAGAGAGACTGTTAGGAGGACTTGAGAGTTGAGAATGGATATGTGCGGCTAGCTGTATGTAGTATGTACATTAGATTAAGGTTTTTTTAAAAAGTTTTGTATTTTTTTTATATAAAAATAAATGGGTGGATGATAAGCGGGTGATGGATCGGGTGACGGATGACTTAAAGCTCCACCCGAATCCGATCCGATCCGTCACCCGTTTCATCCACCACCCGCCTTTCATCCATTTAAGTCGGGTTTTCATCCATTTAATTTAAGCGGGTAGAGCGGGTTAATGGATATCCATATAAAATTGCCATCCTTAGTATAAGGTCCTCCACTAAAATTTAACTTTCTCCTTCTATTGATATTTGATACTCGTTGGTAAAGAAATTATTGGTCAAATTTTTGCTTCGACAAATGTGCCTTTATACTTCTTCTGAAACAGCTGTACTTCACTATTGTTCTCGTGAGAGTGAGAGATAACTCAAGAGGTTAGTGTTTTCCTTTCGATTTCAAGAGATCTTGGGATATGATTGATTCTCCCCTCACCTTTATGACTTTCTAAACACACACACACACACACACAAAAAAACCTATTTTTCTCGTTTTACAATACTTTTTATTTAAAATATACTACCTGGTCGGAATCTCTCACAAGTCCTCCCGATTTGAGTTAACGAGTTAGGCACTTTGACATTTGGGTGATGGGTAAGGGTGCTGAGTATATGTTACTCGTTATACTTGTATTCCTTTAAATTAGTACTGTACTCCATATGACCGTATCTATTGTTCTGTGTTCAGGTTTCTTCAATTCCTTCCACCCAAACTCATCTTTTTCTCCTGAACTCAGATAGAGTTCTTTCAATTTGACTTAGAATAAATATATTACTTCTAAATTACATTCTTACTCCTAGCATTTATTTCTCACACAATAGAGAGAAGTAGGAATGTAATTTAGGGACGGAAGGAGCAGGAAAAAAGTACCATACTCCGTAATTGAAAAATGCTATACATAGCCCTTATAAAGGGCTACATATAAGTATTAAAAAAATATTCTTAAAAATTGTTTAAATTTAAAAAATCTTACAAAAACACACTTATTATAATAATCTATGCGTGATTTTGTCATAAATTTATAAATTTATACGTATAATTTTCAAGAGTTTTTTTCATGTTTATGAGGACAATGTATAGCATTACCCTCAATTATTTAACGAGTATATATGACTATATTTATATGTCAATGTGCTATGGAGTACTCGTATTACTTTAATTCTTTCTCTTAAACCAATAATTTCTTTTCCTTCTCACACAGGTTTTTATTCCCCTTCCTAATTGTAAACCTTATCTTGGAAATATGAGTTTGTAGCTAATGCTCCTCAATTCAAGAAACCTAATCTGTCCAGTATAAAAATATATTTCATTATTTTTATATACTTACCTTGCTTATCTCCAAAGGCTAGCTTGCATGTTGCCTTGCCCCGTATAATACTTCCTCCATTTCTATACTATACTATATATTGTAATAATGGGATTATTATACTATTTGATGGAATTAGTAAATAGTTACAATAGTGGGATTATTACTATTTATCACTATTGTAATAATGGGATTATTATACGAAGTACTATTTTTCAGGTAAATTATTGTTATACAATTATAAATATTTAACATATAAATGTGTTTTAAGATGCATAATGACATTCTTGTTGCAATATATTGAAATAAAGAAAGTAATATTTTTAAGCTAATTTTCTTTTTATTAAATTTCCTCCATAGTAGTAGTTAGCTAATACAACATGTTAACACACTACTCCGTAATTTGCTAATTAATTGTGTTCCATATGCCAGTAGATAGTTTGATGGAATTGAATCTTT